TCTTGCCTCAGCCTCCTGAGTAGCTGGGACTACAGGCACCCGCCACAACACCCAGCTATTTTTGTTGTTGTTGCAGTTTGGCCGGGTCCAGGTTCAAACCAGCTACCCTCAGTACATGGGGGGTGCCCTACCACTGAGCCACAGGCACGGCTCTAGCATCATACATTTGATGGGCACAGGGCTTATGACTCACCTTTTCTTGGAATGCTAGGAGAAACTTCCGGAAGGCATGTTGACTGGGTCCCAAGTGAGATCAGGCTACCAAGAGGAATATCTGAAAGAGAAATTTTGGAAGATCAGCTCACATATATCCAGCTAGCACTCAATAATATTACTGACTATTACATCACAATGCCTACGGAACTCCATACCTACCCACACCTCAGAATATCCAGCAGTCACCACACATGCAAGCTGCTGAAAACTCATCTCTTGTTCCTCATAATGAACTCTCCTTCCTGAGTCCCCCTCCTGGTGACTGGCACCTTCTTTCATCCATCTGTTAGTCCCCTCAGCCAGGAAGTTCTGAGTCAGCCAGAGTCTGCCCCTTCAGCCCTCAGCGTTGTCTGGTCTATCACTCATTCACTCAACAAATACACATACATTGGGCACCAGTGTTACCCAGCCATTGTTCCAGGCACTGGATACACAACAATAAACAAGACATAAGGTTCCTACTCCAAGGATCTTATATTCTAATGGTGTGAGGATCTCAGCACATAAAACAATTAATACTTAATATAATTTCAAATGATGTTGAAAGTTGTGTCTCACTTGTTTTGTTTTGAGAGAGAGAGAGAGAGTCCCAGGGTAGACTGCTATGGAATCATAACTCACAGCAACCTCAAACTCTCAAGTTCAAGCTAACCTCTTGCCTCAGCCTCCTGAGTAGCTGGGACTATAGACACCTGCCATGATGCCTGGCTAGATTTTTTTCTATTTTTAGTAGAAATAGGGTCTTGTTCTTGCTCAGGCTGGTCTCAAGCTCCTGAGCTGGAGCAATCCACCTGCCTCAGTCTCTCAGAGTGCTAGGATTACAGGCGTGAGCCACTCTCTAGGGATTTCTTATTCACAGCTGTGACCATGTCATGGACAGACTTATAGACCTTGTCGCCTGTCATTGCTCATCTCTCTGTTGCATTTTTTGGTCCCTCCTTGAAGAATCCAAAGGTTTAGTCCAGGACTGTCTAAACTTTTTTTTTTTTTTTTTTTTTGAGA